TCTTGATTCAGTTTTTCATTTCCATTTTCTTTAAAAATGAACATACTGTTTTTATTGGTTTCTGTGCCTTTAAGACCTCTATTTAAATTGCTTTGCATGTGAAATAAGTAACAGTGAATTGCACATTTAATTCATCATTACATTACCCTTTCTAAAACTAAATAAATAAATTGAATTTATGAATCAATACAATTCGTACAAAGCTGGAATGAACCAAATGCTGAGGCGTGGCGCTGAGGCAATCTATATAACATACCAAAAGAAGGCTGCAAGGATGCCATTTTTGTGTAGGCAAAAACCCGGAAATGAGTTTTAGCACTTCCAGTTCCATCCTAAAGTCAATGGTTTTTTTAAATGGGTTTGTGGGTAAAAGCCTGAAATAAGGTCTGTGGTGATTTTCACGTTGTATTGGGACATAAAAAAAACGTCATTCTTGAAAAAGGTGGTTACAAACAAGTGGCTAAATGAGACTACAGAGGTTGTAGGGAACATTAAATGTCATCAGGAGAAGAGATAAACTCATCTACTCACTTTAACAGTATTCACTTTTTATACTTTTACTCACATTTACAGCCTAATTTCATTAATAATCAACCTATTCCAACTCAAAATTTCAGGGAAAATGCTTTTTAAATAAAAACCGAAGAGTTGACGGAAGCTAAGTGATGGTGACATTGAAGTCACACGACCATGGTGTAGTTTGTTTATAGCCTATGTTTAGCTTTTTACTTCTGATGATTGTATTCAGGCTACAAAATTAATTTGGGAAGATTATCATTAACAAAACATTTAAGAATCACAAATTTTAGCTGATCACAAAGCTTGTTTTCTGCAATAATCCAAAAGCGAACAGAAAAAAACCTATGGAGTTTTTGCAGAGAGAATTAAAGTGACGCTAACTTTCTGGTTGGCCTACAAAATACATCATCACTGCAGCGCTCTATATAGAGGTGAATATAATCACAGTGAAGGATTGATGGAATGTAACACTAGCAGTGGTGATGAGTGGAATGTACCATGTGGAGACAGAGACAGGTGAGTGGGTCGTACCATGAGCAGCTACAGCAGCAGCACCAGCAGAAGCAGCAGGTGTTGGGTTTCTGTGTGGGCGAGGGATGCTGGGCGCGGCTGGGGGACGTCTCGCTCCGCGTCATCGGAGACTCGCGGTCTGCCGGGACAGGGCCTGTGTACTGATACACGTTAGAGTAAATACCCAACCCCTCACGGACACACACACACACACACACACAGGAAATCCTCTACATCTGGTGACTTGAGTTTGGAAATTAACATGCACATGGTCATGAGGTCATAATCAGTCCCTCTAAACCAGGGTTGGGCAAACTTGGCCCTTCCATGCCACTTTCCTTCAGAGGTTAGCTCCAACCCTAATCAAACACACCTGAACCAGCTAATCATTGTCTTCGAGACTACTGGAAGGCTACAGGCAGGTGAGTCATATCAGGGTTGGATCAAATCACTGCAGGAAAGTGGCCTGGAAGGGCCAAGTTTGCCCATCACTGCCCTAAACCAGTGGTTCCCAACCCTGGTCCTGGAGGCACCCCAACACTGCACATTTTCCCCACACGGTCATAATCCTCTGACAAACAGACAAATATTAGCCTCCACTAACAATCCATCCTTAAAGGGGGCAAAGACTCAACCTGTCACCTAAAGCAGCCAGTCAGAATGAAGACTGGAGAATATCAGTGAGCATGTGACCTGATCAAACCAATCACATTTCAGATGTCTGGGCACGGAGCCGGTGAGTGGCGATAATGAATTGGAGCAGGTTAAAGAGACGCAGGGAACAGAAGAAGACCATCATGCAATATGGGAGTAGCTTGATTTTTGTCACCACAAGTGCAAACAGAAACTAACCGGAATAACCTGAGAGTAACTCAAATAAACAAATGAATAAACCAACCACTGTATAAGAATGCTTAATAAATTACTGTATGGGCAATTTTGGTTTGTGAACTTTTAGAAAAGAAACACACTTTTCACTCCCATTAAATTCATCTGTCCACTTACAAAGTGGTTATACACACTGCACATCAGAGAAGAATAGTCTTTTTTCAGAAAGTCATGAAAATTCCCACCATATCTCAACTGATGTATTGAGTTTAACAGCATTCAGTGGCATAAATGACATTTTACGGTTTGATTGGAGTAAAATTTGGATGATGCCTCACAAGTACTGAATTACAAATAAAGTTTCATATAATAATTTCCATCGAGTTTACCCAGTCAAGTCACTTGTGGTTCAACGTTTTAAATCTTTAAATTGGAAGATGTGTTTTTTGCAAAAATGTCCATGAGACCATTTGCCATTTATGTCCTAAGATAATTTTTTGAAGAAAATTTAAATTTATTCACAAAAAAAGCTAGGACTGTTGTTAATTTTGTAGAAGCTGATGTGATTTTTAGGTGTTTCTAAATATCAATATCTAAAATATAGAAAAGTAAAAACTTGAAAACAATACAAATAATACAACTACCTGTATTTAATGTGCAATGTTTTTCTGTAAGTTTTTTTTTTCAGTATAGTATATAGTATAGTAGTATAGTATAGTATAATATAAGTATCCTTGACAAGTTTGATCATATGTACTCACAGTATTTCTCACACAAAAAAAAACTAAATTCAAGCTAAATACGTAAAATCACACACACACACACACACACACACACACACACACACACACACACACACACACACACACACACACACATTTCATCACTACCTGACAAAAAGACAGTTTGACCGGAAATGGCACAAATGGGCATTCCGATAAATGTGACTTCTGTGTTTTTACAAACTGAGTGACGAGTCAATGATTTTCTGTGGTAATCGACAGCATGATCCAGTATTGAACTTGGAACATTCCTTTAAAGTGGAACGGAGAGTGGGGTGTTGTGTTTAAACTCTCCTCTCCTCCCCCAAAAGATTATTTTTAATTTGCTAAAAGGCCTAAGCCATAATTATTTTCCAATTACATTTGGGCCAGCTGTCCTAAATAGAGAGGTCCTGTCCCACTGCATACCAAACATCTCTAATGCAATCACAGCAGACACACAAACATACATGTGTGTATGTGTGTGTGTTGAGGAAGGGAAAGAAAACCACACAGCATTAAAACAAAAGGCTTTTGTGTTGTTTAATGACAACTTCAGAGTACACGGTCATATTCAGATGCATGTCGAGTGTTTTAAAATCCAATCTTCCATACACACAGACGGCCAACTGCTCCACAGTCTCAGAAACTTCCACAGCCTCTGGCAAATCCAACAACAAACCCCTGAGTGTCTATATGGAAATGAGCGCCTGTCTGCAAGTGAGGAAAAGTTGCTTGCTTTAATGAGGAAACGCAAGTTAAAACAGCAAGAGGAAGCAAGCGTGAGGGTGACAGGGAAGTAGTGCTTTACACCCAAAATGGCAGTACAATGTGGCGGACTATGTCCCTGTCCTTGTGAGTTTGCCTTTATTGAAAAAACAAAAACTGGGAGTACAGAGCCTTTTATGGGGTTTTGAGGCCAGTCGTTCTCTCGGGATGGCTGCAAGAACAATTTTGGGTTCCTTCAGGAACCTTTCAGAAAACACTTCATAAAGTATATTTTTTTCTTAGTGTGAAGAACATTTTAATAAACTGAAGAAACTTTTCCCACTATAAAGAACGTTTTGTAAAATAAAAGAAGGTTCCATGGATGTTAAAGATTCTTCATGGAACCAGCGATGCCAATAAAGAACCTTTATTTTTATTTTTTTAAGTATGTAATGCTTCATCTACACCAGTAGGTGTCAGTATAAAGCATGTCAAAAATAACGGTTACGAATAAGTGACTGAATATTGAGGAACTGAATATTATTCTGAATAATTCAATTCTGGCAAACAACTGATAAATGGTAGTTATTAGAATGGCAATGAAAAGGAAGTAGCGACATAACTTTTTTTTTTTTTTTTCCATATAGTGACGTACATCAAAGTGTACATCAAAAAGTCGATTATCAAAATTAAGAAAAAAAAAATATGGCAGGGACTTAGTTCAGGCCAATGGTTGTTGATTGGATGGAGGCAGAAAGGGGCAGGGTTTAAGCATATGTCACCAGAACAAAATTTTATTGGAAGAAAAAAATTACGAGGTCAAATTTATTTGAATGAAACATTAAAATCGTTCACAATAAGATCAACAACATTACCATGTATTTAGAAAATAGACAGGATAAATTCAAATTTCATGCCGAAAATTCTACATTATTTTGTCTAATTAAACAAAAATAAAACACTGAAAGCTAGAATTTTCTTTTGAAAAGCTAAGTGAATTTAGGCATCACAACATTATAATGTACAGTACGAAAGCATATCTGCTAAAATTAATAATTTAATAAAGTTAAATGTAGTGTTTTTAAAGATTATCTTTAAGTGAGCATTACAGGACGGCAAAGGTAGTCTAATCCTAAAAACAGAGGAAATAAATCTAATACCACATTCTAATATTGACCAATATGGTACCAATATACAATATATCCCAAAAAAAAGAAAAGAAAAAAAAAAAACATTGAATGCACCTTTAAGGTATTAGACAAAGGTGTCCATGTTGTTTCTATCAGTCCACCAAAGAAAGCAAGTTGCCATGCAGCTACAATTAACTATATCTTCTGTTTTCTTTTCTCTCAGCCTTCAATGGGCTGTAAAAGAGGCAGGAGGAGACGTCCCCTCAACACCTACTCTACTGTTTTCCTTTCCTGACTTTCATTTGATTTTCCAAAAGTTTTCACAACTTCTCTCCTCATCCCCCCTCGTGCGTGAAATTCTCTCCGCTGTAAAGATGGCTGCAGCCGCCTGAGGTATTTTTAGCTTTTGGCAGACCCCCATTTATCCTCCCCTCTCCAGCTCTCTTTTTCTTTGCTGGAGAGCTATTTTCTGTGCCGGGGTCATTGGTGGCCAGTAATTTTGACAACACACTCCACACTTCACAAATACTGTCGAAGCAAACAAGTGATAAATCCTCCCCCGTCCCTTCGTTCTCATGACGCGTGGTGTTGTATTTCCCTCTAGAAATTCTGTCTGTATTAAACGCCTCTCCTGTTTGCTTTTTTAGAGTTGCACAATGACAGTCTCAAATGAGGTCTTGTAAATATTTGTGTTTTGTTTAGTCTGCGTCTTTTTCTTCTTCCTCTTTTTTTTCCTCACTGCAATCAAAGGCTCACAAGTTTCCTCGACAGACTACACAGGGAAACAACATGAATGTACAAAACTACATTAAGCACTGCAGAATGAAAGGCACGTAAGCCATAACATGCTTTACGTATTTATGGGTCTGATTTATGATTCGGCCAAATATGAAGACACAAATGTGTGTGTTGGTCTGGTGTTGAGGCGTAGTGGCAGCTCAGTCCTTTCTAATCTTGTTAACCCTCCCTCCAATCCTGTTAGGAGGGATTTGGTCAAGTCTTGGCAACCCCAAATACCATACCATTTGACCCACAGTGAGAAGGTGCAATACACAAAGCAAGAGAGAATGCGAGTATATGTGAGTCAAGAACTTATGCTGATATCTTCCAGGTTTCTCTTGAGACATGCAAGCATCACAACAAATGTTGCAAAATAAATCCTTATGGTTATTGGATGCAAGTTCTTTTCAGTGGCTTTTCACACACATGGGCACAAACGCTTCTAGTCATGTGCTCCAACCAAAATGGAGAAACATGTAAAGAAAAAAAGTCCCTGCAGACTGTTATGACCGAGGCCCTGTTTAAACCTGGTATTAAGACATGTTTTGGTCAATTGGATCACAAGTACACAAGGCAGATGCAAACCTTTTCAGTCTCTTTTTTCCACTTTTGATAACTTTTCTGATTTCTTTGGATCTATGGGCAGGTGTACAGTGGTGTGAAAAAGTGTTGGCCCCCTTCCTGATTTCTTATTTTTTTGCATGTTTGTCACACTTTAATGTTTCAGATCATCAAACAAATTTAAATATTAGTAAAAGATAACACTAGTGAACACAACATGCAGTTTTTAAATGAAGGTTTTTATTATTAAGGGAAAACAAAATCCAAAACTACATGGCCCTGTGTGAAAAAGTGTTTGCCCCCTAAAATCAGGAAGGGGGCCAACACTTTTTCACACCACTGTATGTATGGGCATTTTTTGATCTTTTGATCAAATATTGTGTGTACGGGACG